TCTACTCAAGCGGCCATGCTGCCTCACCCCAATATATATATATATNAAAGCGGCATGGCCGCCTCACCCTAATGTATGCAGGTGGAGGTATAATCCCAATCACAATCCCTACACAATTTGGCATAATAATTTCCACATAAATCATGACTTGGAATCATAACATGTAGATACATAATCCATAGTTTGGAATACATCCTCAATTTATAATACAATATGTTGAGAGCATTTCAAACACGAATTGAACATATATCTTTGTCACAAAACTTATTCGGAATACTCGATTTGTAATAAATATCTTGGAGCTTACAAGGATATTGGGGGTTCTAATTCTTAAAGAAGAGTTAGCCAACATACCTCAATGGAGCTTCCTTAAACTCTAAAATATTTCGAAATTCTTAGCAACTTCAATATATTTTAGAAATATAACAAGTTGAACCAAAATTAGGAAAATGGTCATGGTTCTAGCTCATTTGAGGATTTTATCAAACACTAGGTGTGCATTAGGGTTTCAATGTCCTTTTATGGAGGATTCCATCATCTCACAACCCATTCTTTACCATATTTAGCTCACAATCTTCCTACACCCTTTGATAACACATTCATGCAAAATAAACAATTCCCATACCCAAGAATTGTCTTGCAAATTACCCTTTTTTAGATAAATTTCGAAATTAAGGGCTAGGGTGTAGAATCTTACCTCTAGGATGAAGATCTAGTGAGTTTTCCTTGTTAATCTTCAAAGATTTGAGCAAGAATTGAAGGACAATTTGTTGAAGATCACTCTCCCACTCTAGGGAACTCTCTCACTCTCAAAACATCAGGTTTTAGCTCAAAAATAGTCCATTGCGTCTATTTAATCGAAGTAGGGTCGGATTTTAAAAACTCAAAAATGAAGCTCCAATACAGGATATGCGGTCGCATATGCGACCGCAGAATGGATATGTGATCTGCATATTGGCCGCACAATTTGGTGCCCAAAACTAGGGGTCGCCTGCCTGGGTCTGCGGTGGTTATGCGGCCCGCAGACCTGTCCTGCGTCGGATAATGCACCGCAGAACTGGTCTGTGGTCGCATAATGCACCGCAGATCTTCCTCCAAGCTGCCTCGCATCTGCTTCACTCTGCGGCCATTATGCGGTCCGCAGAGTGATTCTGCGACCGCATAGTAGGTCGCAGAAATGCCCTCTTTTGCCGAAAATTTTCCTTTACTCCCCAGTGCATTATTCAGCCCAAAAAGTCCGAGCAGCGGCGAGCAAGCTCGCCGCGAAGAATTTTTACAATCCCCAAACACGTGATCCTAGTTCGGCACCACGAAAACATAAATTATCTTGCAAATTTTTTACGGGGCCTTACATTCTCCCCCACTTAGGATCATTCGTCCTCGAATGAGGGTCAAAGTTCACTATTAGCATTCAATGTGGCCCAACTATTAATTCACACACACCAGCAGTTTCAAAATTTGGTTAACTCCCTAAATTTCCAAAACTTATGCCAGAGTCTTCCCTGTAACCGGGCCTATCCACCTGCCAGAGAATTCCAGAAATCAATCCTAACAACATATACATAACCGACGATACAATATAACACAAGAACAACACCAACCATGGCCTCATAAGCAATATATTACCAGAAAAGGAACACCCTTAACATCAACTGTATAAATGATACATAATTCATAGAAAGTAACTCTTAGAATTTTCATAGATCACAACTTTATAAATACATGGCTATTCAAACAAATAAGTATACGTCTTTTTCATTTCTTCCTCGGCCTCCCAAGTAGCCTCTTCAACCTGTTAGTTTCGCCATAACACTTTCACGGAGGCAATTTCTTTGTTTCTCAACTTTCGAACTTGCCGATCAATAATAGAAACTGGAATCTCTTCATAAGTCAATTTCTCATTAACCTCAATAGTCTCAACTGGAACAATGAGTGTCGGGTCTCCAACTACTTTCTTCAACATAGACACATGAAACATCGGGTGCACTAATGACATCTCAGGTGGTAGCTCAAGCTTGTACACCACCTCACCGATCCTCTGGATGATTCTGTATGGTCTGACATACCTCGGACTCAATTTCTCTTTCTTACCAAATCGCACTACACCTTTCATGGGGAAACCTTCAAGAATACCCAATCATCTTCTTTGAACTTTAAATCCTTACGACGAACATCCGAATTGGACTTCTGACGACTCTGAGCAGTCTTCAACCGTTCCTTAATGATCTTAACTTTTTCCATAGCCTGATGCATGAGATCTGGCCCTATCAACTCTGCTTCCCCAATCTCAAACCACCCAATGGGAGATCTACATCTCCTTCCATAAAAAGCCTCGAACGGTGCCATCTGAATGCTAACATGATAACTGTTGTTGTAGGCAAATTCCCAGCTGCCTTTGAAGTCTAGAACACAAGCGCGCAACATATCCTCGAGCGTCTGAATAGTCCGCTCTGCCTGCTCGTCCGTCTGCGGGTGAAAGATTGTACTGAGATTCACCTGAGTACCAAAACCTTGCTGAAATTTCATCCAAAAATTAGCCGTGAACTGTGCCCCCCGATCAGAAATGATAGAAACTGGAGTGCCATGCAACCTGACTATTTCTTTGATATACAACTGAGCATACTGTTCCGCTGTATCGATAGCCTTAAACGGCAAAAAAATGGGTTAATTTCGTGAGTCGATCCACAATCACCCAAATCGAGTCAAACTTACGAGGAGTGCGAGGTAGTCCTACCACAAAGTCCATATTAATCATTTCCCACTTCCACATTAGAATTTCTATATTTTGTGCCAGCCCACCGGGCCTTTGGTGTTCGGCCTTCACTTGCTGACAATTTGGATATCTCGCCACAAAGTCAGCTACATTTCTCTTCATATCATTCCACCAATAGACTTCCTTAAGATCATGATATATTTTCATACAGCTCGGGTGCACGGAATACCTAAAAATATGAGCCTCGGTCATGATTCTTCCCCGAAGACCATCCACGTTTGGAACACATAGTCTCCCTTGGTACCTTAGTGTACCATCATCCCTGCCAAGAGAAAAGGCCATGGTCTTATGTTTATGAATCCCCTCTTTCAGTTGATCCTAGTTCGGCACCACGAAAACATAAATTACCTTGCAAAATATTTACGGGGCCGTACAATTTCTTTCCAAGAAATTGAGTAAAATGATTGGCAATCGAAACACAAGTTAAAATCATAAACAAGTAACACACTATTTATTCTTGAATTACTTTTCCCTAAAAAAAAATGGCAATACACAATTTCAACTCACGAATATGTAAGAACGCAAAACACATCGAAACTACTTACAAAGCATAGCATTTGTTAAAACAATCATATATGGGCGTCACTTGAGTTCATAAGCTTTTAGGCAATTCTATTTTTGAAGTCAATTTCGGAACAGTTGAATCAAAGCTCATTTCATAATCTTTCTCACATCATCTCATTTCATTGGCACCATTGGCCACAAGTATAACTTTCACTCTTGGCACGTTGGCCACACTTTATATCCCCAATTCACTTATTTCACTTCCAACCATCTTTATAGATTATCAACAATAAGACATTTCCAATCAAGACTTTAGGTACACATATAAGCAATTAAGAGTCTTAAGCATATTGAGATTTTCTCACACAATTTGGCATCATAAACTTCATTTGAAACACGACTCAAAGACATAGTATTTTAATACACATATCATTCTTGAACACATTCCTAAAGGATAACATAATGTGATAGGAACATTCGGAACACGTTTTGAATACATAATTCTCGACACTTTGCTTATTCGGGACAATCAAATTTATTGGGAACATCTCAGAACATAGAATAAGGAACTTGAGACAACCATACTTGAAACTTACAGGAACATCATGGAATTCAATTCTAAGAGAGTAGTTTAGCCAACATATCGTGATGGAGCTCTTTAGTGCTACTAAAACCGCCCACTACTCTTACAACTTCAATCTACATCAACATAATTCAATTGGACCAATATTAGTAAAACTTTCCAGGTTTTTTGTCGTTTTGGCATTTTATCAAACACATAGAGTGCATAGCATTCAACTACCTCTATTAATAGTGTTTCTTCATCCAACATTTCCTCCTTCCCACCAACAAGATATAATACAATATCCTTTCATTACTAATTGCCTTCTTTAGCACCATTATAATCATCAATGAACTCACATCCACCAAATTTCACTAATTAACTCATTACAAAATCTCTACAACACCCAATAATCTAGTTTAAGTATTTATGGCTTTCAATCACCATCTCATAAGTTATAACACATCACACTTGACACTTACGTTTGTTTTGAAAAAATAATATAGACAAGAGAGAAAAGATTTCGGAATTTTTAGTGTGTGAAAAATAAGGTCAAGCCTTTAAATTTAGAAGCAATGAAATGGTAAGACGGATAGACAATTCAAAAAGTCTCTTTTCTCATTCACCTTAAAAACCCAACACAAGTTTTATATATCAATCTCAAAAAAGTCAGAGGCCAATAATGGAATGAGGTCTTCTTTAGGATTAAAAGAAGCACCCAGCTAAAGAAGCTTATGAATGCATATTGTGACCGGTAGTCGGTGAATGCAATTCGATCGCATTCTTGTCTAATGATCGTCGTTTTCGAGCCAGATGAGCTGGAGATGGAGGATGGCGATGAAATTGAGGCAATGTTGCATCAAACTAGAGGCTCAACTGTTTGACTGATCTCTTCCGCTTAATGAATATAGCTTGTGCTCGGACCTGTAGGAGCATAGATGAGCTTCGTGGTTTTGCTCGGACCAGCTTTATTGAACGTAATTACATTACCTTCTGTTGTTGCAAGAAGATCATCAGTTGCTTCTTGCCATGAAATTAAAATATTTTTAGTTCTATCTAAATAAAATAAAATAAAAAAATCCCTCAATTAAATTTAGTATTTCCTGTTTTGTCGAGCCAAATGCGACTTAAAAATGTGAGTAAGAAGGAGTAAGTAGTCCAACCTTAAGGAACCATTTGATTTGGGTCATTTTGTTAAATACTCCCGTACTTGCCATGAAATTCCCAAGTCAATTATAAAGTACTATCCCAAGGAACCCAACTACCGAGTCGTCCATTTCTCCTGAAATTCCCAATTCCATTGCCACCAAAAAGAAACAAGAAAATCCCAATCCACTGTACCCACCACCATGACACCACCACCAGTCTTCATCTCCTCCGCCGCTCTCCCAACCCTCCTTTCTCACAAATCCCTCATCGACCACCTTCAATTTTCCCTCCCCACCTTCACTTCCACCACTCAATCCCATCTTCGCCATGCCCACCAAACAAGCCCTTCCACTTCTCTCCTCCTTATGCCTTCTTGGTCTCTTTCCCCTTCACTTCCCTATATTGGTGTCAAGCTAGTCACTTATCACCCCAACAATTCCACCCAAAATTTACCTGGGGTTCACGCAAGTTATGTTCTTTTTAATTCCATCACTGGACAAACCTTAGCCACTATGGATGCCACTGAACTCACTGTCTACCGAACTGCTTGCATCTCAGCTTTAGCTTCTAACTTCTTATCAAGACAAGATTCTGAAACCCTTTTGATGATTGGTGCTGGTACTTTAGCACCACACTTGATCAAGGCACATCTAACAGTTAGGCCAAATTTGAAGAAAGTGATAGTATGGAACAGAACTGCTGATAAGGCAAAAAGGGTGATTGAAAAATTGCTAAGTGAAGGTGGATTTGAAGGGGTGAGTTTTGAGAGTAATGGGTGTCTTGAGGAAGTTGTGGAGTTGGGAGATATAGTGAGTTGTGCAACGAATTCGGAGACGCCATTGGTGAAGGGGGAGAAGCTTAAAGAAGGGGCGCATTTGGATTTGGTTGGATCATTTAAGCATTCGATGAGAGAGTGCGATGATGAAGCGTTGAAGAGGGGGAAAGTGTTTGTTGATAACGAGGCTGCGTTGGTAGAGGCAGGGGAATTAGTAGGTGCATTTGAGAGAGGGGTTATTACAAGGGATGAGATTGCTGGGAACTTGTTGGAATTGATCAAGGGAGAAAAGAACGGCAGAACAACTGCTGAGGAGATTACTGTGTTTAAATCTGTTGGTTCTGCTGTTGTTGATCTTCTCACTGCTCAATTGGCATATGAGACTTACATGAAAAGTTGTTAGTGAGAGTTACTTAATTCTGTTCTCATATATTCTCTGCGACTATATACATCATAATAAGAGAAGATAAGGATTTATTTTCTCTGAAGTGCTTATTCTAGGTTTCAATAACATAGCCATGCAGTTTAATGTTGTTTATCAAGCCATATCAAAAGATGTAATCTTTGGACAGGTTTTTACCTGGACACCGTGGTTATTATATACTTCTTGTTGAAGTTTGTGATATGATAATGTTGCCATTGCGAACAACCATTAGAATTGGAATTTAGCAGTACATATGGAGGTCACAACAATAATAAAGGGAGATAGTTATGACCTCCACGGAATAAATAATATGATAGTAAAGAAAGAGTCTCTACATTCTGTATACAATTTTGAGCCAAAAGTACAACAAAATCTATAGATACAGTAGACTTTTTGAGTCTAAATTTTTCATGATTCAGCTTGGTGAGTTTCTTTCTTCTTCAACTTAGGGTGGAACCTTGGATACAGCAGATCATTTAATTGTCTTTCAGCGCTATACTCCGAGGAGGCCTGCAAATAGAATGTTCTATTACTTTTACAGGAAAATGAAATAGTTACTGTTTTGGAACTTGGAAGTAGCACAAAGTGATTCTCAAAAACCAAAAGCTTGTGGTCTAAAATAGCAAATATGATAAATAAGCAGAAGCACTTCTCTCCATTCGATCTCGATAATAAATATTCATTATGGTTTTACACGTAAACTAAGCCTGCATGTCAGGTATGTATCAAAGACATGGTAATCCACATTGACAACAGTTCATTTGAGCTCAGCAGATATGCAGCAAAACTGGAAATGAAGTTCGAATCTCAAAAACAAAACACAAGTATTATAAATATCATACCTGCTTTTTAAAGGAAAACCGCAGTGTCTGAACTTGTGCTCCAGAACAAACTCTCAGGTCAAAACCAAGGCTGTCTACACCAATCAGAGCCACTTCCTGTCATACATGGCAAAAAGATATAAGATGAAGTAGCCAGTGGGACAGGGACATCACACTAAACAGTGATGTGGTTCAAGTCTTACAGCTCCATGTTAATGCATCAAACAGACCGCAAGAAGGGTATGGACTATGTTCTCGTATTAGAAAAATAACAACAAATGAATAAACAATAAAACATCAGAAAACAAGTAGTTAAATGATGGCTAGATTGTGTGTCTGCTCGCACGTGTAAGAGAGAGTATTTTGTTCACAATAATAGCATCAAGTACGTGCTGGGGGCACACAAAAGCAGCAGACTAGTTTCCATTTAAATGATGTAGGAAAGTAACAAAATGGATCAGTTGTCTATCATTTAAAAAAAATGGCTCCAATATTTGGAAATACCTGCATATGCAAGTCAATCTCATTCCGAGGAAAGGAGGTTTGGGGAAAGAAGGGGAGGAAGAGTTGCGTGTTTTGCTTTTATATCACTTTATTTGGCTGTTAAAAGGGCAAACCACTTGATGGGTTGTAAAGCATCATATTTCTGAAGAGAAAGGAAGAAAAACAAAATCTAATCATCTAGAAAATATCCAGGGAACTAAGAATGGTCATACCTCCACTTGAATTCCCTTGCATCTCCAACAGAGAGATCTGAGAGCCTGTGTGGTGTTTTCTCCTACAGCTTTAAGCCGCGATATAATGTTGGCAGCTGAGTGCGCTATTGCATCAGGTTTAGCTTGACTAAAATCATCTAACTCCACTAAGATCTGTGCCCACCATTAGAAAACATAAAATTGATTAACCTGAGTACTGATGGGTAGAATCACAGGAATCTCGCAATTGCAAAAATTGTTAAGCTTTTCGATAGATTAAGAAAATAGATCGTATGCACCTACACATTCTAAAACATCAAGAACATTCTAGTGTGAGTTACATGCATGACATATAGCACTCATTTGCGAAATACAAACAATGTGGATGATAATGACTAATGAGTCACTGCATTCATGTATAATACTCCCTCTGTTTCAATTTATGTGAACCTATTTCCTTTTCGGTCCGTGCCAAAAAGAATGACTCCTTTCCTTATATGGAAACAATTTACCTTTATACAATGATTTATAGCCACACAAAATATATGTGCCTCATTTTACACCACAAGTTCAAAAGTCTTCTCTTTTCTTAAACTCCGTGCCCAGTCAAATGAGTTCACATAAATTGAAACGGATGGAGTAGTTGATTACTTGATTAGCACTGACGGAAAAGCATCCCATGGAACTTTTCCCCGGGGTTCAGCTTGGTAGCCAAATCTCAGAGTGTTATAACCATGTCATCCAAAATCTATCATGACTAGGAGTGGCAAACGGACGGGTCGGGTCGGATATGGTTCGGGTAAAAAAAACGGGTAATGAAAAAACGGATAAATTATCCGACCCGACCCATATTTAATACGGATAAAAAATGAGTTAACCGGCGCGGATAATATGGATAACCATATTATCCATGACTTCTTGCATATGATCACTTTTGGGAGAATTCTTAGTCACCCTAACTTGAGGAACCCCCAATTTGAGGCTTTACAAATATAAAAGTTAGACCTATTAGTTATCCATTGGTTATCCATTTTCTAAATGGATAATATGGTTCTTATCCATATTTGACCCGTTTTTAAAAAGTTCATTATCCAACCCATTTTTTAGTGGATAATATGGGTGGTTAACTGTTTTCTTTGAACCATTTTGCCACCACTAATCATGACATAGAACAGGAAGACTGCTTCTGCTGTCAATTCCAAACTAGCTTTCATCTATGCATGTAACAACTACAGCAATTTTAGGACAGAACTTTTCCCCTTATAGAAAAGGGACAAATGAAAAGAGTACCCTTTTTCTACTTGTTCAAAATAATAGTATGCTCTTTTCTCGTAATATTTTTCTTTTTTGACTTAACAAATAAGGTGTCACACGCTTATAGCTGCCCCCTGTGCCACCGACTGTAACCCTCCTGAGATTATCAAGTCCAAATTTCCCGTACTTAATGACGATAAGCACTGGGATGACACAAATGATTCACAATAGTTACATAAATTGCACTCCACGGATGCAGATTGAGGCAAGGAAAGTATTGTAATGCTGACCAACAAATTCAAGGTGGAACCTCATAAACCTACAAAACTTACTTGATGCCCATGTGAAGAAATTAACTGAATTTTAATCATCTCTAGCTTGTAAAATGAAGTTCCATTTCCAAGGGTTTCGTCCTTCTCCAATTCCTCTGGACAACTTGGGCCATCTTGCGAAGATCCACTTTCATGTTTGTGGCCATTGACTTGAACACTACAGTTTTGCTTATATTCTGCAACTTTTTCTATTTGGTCTATACCAGCATCATTTGATTTATGTTCAGATATCTGCTTTGGAATGGCAGCGTGCTCTTCAAGGAATGCTGTCCTTAGAAGGCCCTGAATAACAAGACCTGCTGGAGGCTGATCCATAAAATCGATAGGATCATCTGTCACAACCTGAGCAGCAAATTAGACCACAAAATTAAATGTTTGATTTAATCTCCATGGCAGATAAAAAAGTTATATGCAACACATATAGAGAACTAAATGTAACATGATCTGAATAGGAAGTCAAATTGATAGTTTTCACACTTTTAACTTCGTTGCATTCAATTTATCAGGACATTTACCTCAGTAATTGCTTTGGCAAAGTCTATTGGATGAGAGGAACGCATTGTCTCTAACGTAGCCCAATACCCCAAGTCAGGATCCCCATTGTGATCTTCTTCATCATCAAGAATGGAAACCCAATCCTGTGAACAAGTTTATAAACTGACAATGACAGATAGAAAAGCAGTCATATTCGAAAAGTAAACTATTTAAAATGAGTAATACCGATTCATCATCATCGTCATCATCATTATCATCAACATCGTCGTCTTCATCAATGTCATCTAAATCATCTATATCGACGCCCTCGTCATCAAATTCATCTATGTGGTAATCAGTTACAGATTGACCTGATAACTTCATCTCACTCATCATTTCGGATGTATCTAAGCCAATAATTACTTGCTGCATTTTATTGGAAATTAAGTAAGCCTTCAGAGAAAACCAAGTAGTTTTCTAATAGTATATCTGTGGAAGTTGCCATCTGTGAGCTCTTTTTATTTTATTTTTCATTAGTTTTTTTTATAAGGTTTAACTTTTCATTAGTATATCTTCATAGAATTAACGGAAAGCAGACTTATGTGGATAGATGATAGCGCAGGTTCCTCACATTTTTTTAAGCTCTTCTACCATATCTCTCAGAAAGAAAGAGCTTTTAAAAGATAATTGGATTTCACAATAGAGTTATAACCCAATGCAACACAAGAATCTTTCCACAGGAAGATGATCATAAAAGTCATAATCAAGATAATACCATATTGAAAATTTGTCTCTTATGATGGATAAACTTGTGAAACATTACATCTGGGCTATTGAAGACCATGAGTTGTTATCATGATTCCTGTTTTCTTTATTTATCAAAATGAGGGAAAATGACCATGACATGATTAGGGAACAATAAATGCTTAATCAGCATCAACAAAAAGGAAAGTAGCTAAGTGATCCGCAAACGGTTATCCCAAAATGAAGCACAATCATTTGAATCCAGTAGTGGCTACTATATCAAAGTTACTTGCCGAAAAAACAAAGAAAAGCAAAATAATACATTGTTTGGAGAAACACATAAGCGCCTAACAATGAAAACTAACTGAACTTCTTAGTTCAATTGTTTCTTACCACAACGCTTTCTTCTTCTGTTGGATTTTTCAGAACATCTTCGTCATTCTTTACTTGAAAGTAGACATCTGATAAAAAGGGAAAGCACATAAACCTTCGAGGATTGTAGATAAGCCACTAACCACAAAGAAGAAAATTATTAGCTTGAGCAAAACATGCTAATAAAAAGAACTGGGAATCTTACTTCCGAGTTCATCAGTTGTATAAGGCAAATCTGGCCAGAAAATGTTCGCATGCATTACATCACTGACTGCACTTGAAAACATGAGTGTCGCTTCGCTATTTCCCTAGACATCAAGTGAGAAAGGCAACATCACTAACCATAGACAACCAGCCATAATGACCACCAGCCTAGATTATATTTTGCTCAAGAATTATCAGAAAGCGACTGAGAGCCTGTGGACAATGCCTGTCATTTAGGAATTTGGCAAGGGTCCATTTCATACGACAAATAGATCCTTGAAAGCTACATTGACTAAAAGCACA